ATATTGAGTATAAAGTTATTATACTTAGACGGTTCTTAAAAATTCTCTATTACTAAAATTTTCAAAATCAACATAWCCCTCAAACTCATTATTTTAGAAATCATTATAGCACGCAAAGTTAAATAACTCGAAACTTACTCATTCAAGTTATAAAGTAGGTACCTACATCAATATTTTTAGAAAAGCTATCCTCTTAATRGTTTAATTGAGGAAATGAGAGTTCTCATTTGAAAAATAGAAATATCATCTCAATATATTTCTCATATAATACAAAAAATCTCATAAATCTTAAAATAATATGGTCTTTAGCAAACTTAAAACTACTAAAAATCTGACTTTGGATAACTGTAGTTTTAAAGAAAAAAAAGTTATTGAGTGTGCTTGATGAACCACTCTGTATATTATACCTTTGTTATAGAAGCAATGGGGCATTTTTTTCAATACTATAATTATTTTAATTATTTTTAGATTTTATTTTTTTATGAAACCACATATTTTATTCATAAAATCAACATTACAGATGATTTAACAAAAAAATATAGGTACTAAATTGATTCCTGCATGTGGTTTTCAATATGATAACTTACCATAATTCCCGTTTAACGAGAAACAAAGATAAGTATATATTTCCTTAATCTACTATACTTACCCTGAGAAAATACGAAAATTCTACATTATCACTCCCAATGAACAACCAATTAATCTAATAGAACAGAAGGGATGAACTGAGTATAAAATATTGAAAGAAATACCTAGTTACAGAAGGTGTCGTTTGTGAGTTAGTGAGTAATGTTGTGAATCCACAATATAACATTACACAAATTATCCATAGTAAAATATTATTATATACATATTATGTTTAAAATATTAAGTTTCTTGACACAATCAACTGTGAATAACGAAACAAATATTTTTGTGATGTTTATGAATTTTCAGATCAATTGTATGTAATAAAAACTATACAACCCAATATTGCAGAACACATAATATTATGTTTTATATTATTGGAAATATTGTAATCGTACTTTTTTGAAATAACTTATTATACGATTATCAATTATATATTTTAGAAATAAGATATTGCTGAACTCACCGAACGGGATTCCAAGTATAATTTTTCCAATTAATAATGTGGTATAAGAGTTGGCCAATGTAATTAATAGCCAACCTATACCCATTGGTACGCATATGATTTGAACAGTTTTTTTTCTACCAAATACATCCATTAGCACTCCCATTATGAGTAAACCGATCGGACATATAAATACCGTAATACTTGCTGAAATAAATTGTAAAAATATTTTATTACAAATCAATATCATTATAGTTTGTAATATCATAAWCCACAGAATGGTGTGCGTAGTAATTACTAGTACCTATTTAATGTGAATTCTAATGAAATAAAAATAAGAATATGGTCATTGGTTTTTAATACAATTATTGAAATACTCATATTATTGTTCGTAAAAAATATATAATTTATAAAACATATTTTCTAATATAATTTACTAGGTGCTATAAGATTTCAAAGCAATAATTAAAGTTGATATAAGAAAGTTGAGAATAACCAGTGTATGAAAGTATAATYATCCAGAACTGGGATCTAATACAATAATAGTTTAGGTAACTATATTTTATATTTAAAATGCATTATTAAAAAGTTATGATCAGATGCATTTTAAACATGGTCATTTGGAAGTGAGTTTAATAAATTATACAGAAATTGTCATACCGTATTTTGGGAAGTAATTTTTGTTTGTCGTAACTATGTAATTGTATAATTTATATTGGTAACACATTTAATAAACAAGAATTTTTGTTTTGTATCGCTAAAAAAAAAACAATACGCATTATACAAATTAAGATAAAAGTAAAAACAGTATATTATCATTTTGTAACGCTAAATTCTCACAATTAAAATAATGTATGTTGCCAAATTTTTYTAACTATATCCCAAGTGGATATGTAGAGTACTTTAGGAGATACTTGACAGCTCAAAGATGAATAATTTAGATACATAATACAGTAGTTCCTCATTCAACGTTGGGGTTAGGTTCTTAGAAAATACGACGATAAATGAAAAAATGTTGATCAAAATATTTTTATATATACACATTATTTTAATGAGTTCCAGCCAATTATTAACGATGTATCTACATATTTATAGTAACAGCACGATTTAAAACCTTGTTTTGTATTGGATTTCAACAAATTAATTATTGTACTAAAATTCAATGAAAATATATTATCGCACGGGCTTACAATTTATTCCATAAAACCCTTTCACTGCCAGACAATTTGTACACTAAACATGTCCTTGCCACATAAATTTAACTTTCTTCTTCTTACTTTTAATATCTCGAAAGATGTAATGAACCAACCTACAAAGTTTATAAAACTCAAAAATTATTATTGACTTAGATCAGATGAACATTTGGATTATAAATATAATAAATATAAATACAGTCAGGTAGCGATAATTAAATAATTAAAAGAAGATAAAAAATCGTTTTAGGATACTGAACTTGATTAGTTGAAGTATTCGTTAATTTTGAACCATATACTTAATATTTAACCTAAGTACAACTTAAGAAAAAAGCATTTTAATACATTTTTTGCTTTAGTTTTACTTAAATACCTAACGCTACAATTTTGATATGTGATTAAAAAATATTACATGTATAATATATATATATATATAAAAGTATTATGATATGTTCAATAATCCACATACTTAACCAAGATTCCWCTTCAATACTCAAATGTATTGTTGATGAAGGCTCTCTAAGTTGCGCCATAAGTGTAGATGAAAATGTATACAAAGAGCCAATCAATAATGAAGATGAGCAAATCATGGTGGAACAAAATATCTAAATGTAGGTACCACAAATTATAAATTAAGATAATACTAATATTATACGATTTCAATATCATCATTAAAACATTATAAAAATATAATATT